CCACACAGACACCCTTAACCTTATCTTCTGGATGCTCTTGCCAAAACAGCACCAGGAACGGGAACCAGCCCAAACCTGGGAAGGAATCCCCGGTATCCACAAGCCCAGGTACAACTGGGAATAGCCCACAGGGAAATGCAGAATCCCATAAGGACTTGAGGACTAACCTTCCCTTTCCTCAGCAGCACTTCCCTTTCCTCAGTTCCCCTGTGATGGAAAAGCCCCCACACTCTCCATCCCAGCACTGAGCGGCTCTTGTAAAACACAGGAATGAGGGATAGGACTCCACGAGCTGCTGGGAAGTCAGGTTGAGCTCAGATCCAGGCTGCCTACAGGACTGACATCTGCTGGGGCATTCACACCTGGTTTGGAACTAAATCAAGGTGAGGTGAGAATGAGGTAAGGAGTAGCTCAACTCCATCGAGCTGAGGTCAGCTCCCAGCATATCCAGCTGTGCTGCTCCAGAGGTTCATGGGAGTGGTAAAGTAAAATCTACATACTTTAAAAATGAGACACCTATAGAGTTTAAGCACTGCCAGAGTTTGGGAGCAGCTAATTACAATCCTGACCAGCTGGAGCTTTCTGGGCTGAACTCCTCCTGAATTGCTAAATTAAATCTTTTGCTCCCTTTTGACTCCTTTTTTAGAAGGTCTCTGAAAAATGTACAGCCTAAAAGACTCCCATCAATTACTCTGCACTGGATGCAAGGCTTGTGAAAAAAAAAAGAAATTTTTTTAACTTAATGATATTAATTTTGAACGGCAGTTGCTACATTACATAAATCTGTAACATTGTTTAGGTGCTGCTTTGTACAACACTGGCCTGGGACTGTTCTGAATTTAATGATAATGAAGTTTTATATCAGAAAGTGCTGAGTGTGTAGGGAGTGGCAACCAGGGACCCCAGAGGCTGGACCACAGAATCCCAGAATATGCTGAGTTGGAAGGGTCATCAGGATCATCCAGTCCAACTCCTGGCCCTGCACAGCCCCATCCCCAAGAGTCACCCCCTGTGCCCCAGAGGATCATCCAAACCCTCCTGCAGCTCTGGCAGCCTTGGGGCTGTGCCCACTGCCCTGGGGAGCCTGTTCAGTGCCCAACCAGCCTCTGGGGGAAGAACCTTTTGCTGAGCTCCACCCTGAGCCTGCCCTGACACAGCTCCAGCCATTCCCTGGGGGCTGTCCCTGGTCCCCCCAGAGCAGAGCTCAGTCCTGCCCCTCCTCTGCCCCTGCCCAGGCAGTTGGAACTGCAGGGAGGTCTCCCCTCAGTCTCCTCTTCTCCAGGCTGAAATGCAAACCTTTAGGAAAGGAACTTGGCACTGGAGAGGTTCCCCACCACCAGCTGTAAAGGGCTGAGTTTGTCCTGCAGCCTCCCTGGCACAGGAGGGTGGTTCCACCACCCACCAAACCCATCCAGTTTTTGCACAGGGCTGAGGGCAATCCCTCAGGTCTCCTTCCCCGAAACGGTGTCAGATGAAGGTGTGGCCAACAGGACAGATCAGCCCACACACAACCTGAGTGAGCAAACATGGACTTGTTCATGGACTTGTTCATCAGGAGCCTCTGACTCCTGATCAGCCCTGTGCTGGCTGGGGATCACGTAGGGGATCACATCCTGCTGGACTCAGCACAGCCTTCTGGGCAGCTGCATGGGTGGACATGGGATGGACATGCAAGTCCTGGGATGGACATGCAAGTCTGGGTGGCAGCACCCCTGAACCCATGTGGGGAGGCCCCTCTGAATGAACACAGCCATGCCCATGGCTTCATAAAATAGAGCTTTTATTTGTTCATACAAATAGTATGAATTATCAGAATTTCATTTTCCTAGAAACATCTTTCTCTGTGTAAAATTAATTTGTGTTGTACATACCACAAAATACTCCATTTACATTTTTTTTCAGATTTTCTTTTTTGTGGTTTTTTTTGTTGTTTGTTTTTCTTTCTGTTTTGTTGTTTTTCTTACAAATTGGTTACTACTCTATAGAACCATGTTACAGACAACACATCACTACTACCTGTACTGCACTTCTGAACACAGGACTGAATGAAACTCAGCCATAAATTAATGTCACAATGTGAAAAAAACCCAAAAACATAAACCAAAACAAACAAAAAAAACCAACCAAACTTTTAATCACACCTCCAAGCTTAAATTAAAATAAAAAAAGGTATTTAAAAAAAAAAAGAACGATGACAACAGCACTGATTCCAGTATTAGCAACCTGTTGTACACCACGGGAATTCACCTTCACTTGTCTTATTTCTTAGGTAAGGCTTTTTTACATTAAAAGTCTAGTGCAGACTTCATTATGAAGGATATTGAGTCAGGGCTAACAATTTGCTTTAGGTTAGGAGAGTTATTACTCACTCCCTGCATTTCCACTCCCCAGCAGGATTGTTTCAGGAGAGCCTTTCGCAGCAGGGCTCGGTTACACAAATCCAGCCCACGCTCTGCACTGCAGCTGAGGAAGGCAGTGGGGTATTAAAAACTTGTTTCCAAGAAAGCAGGAAGGAAGACGTAGGGGATGCAAAACTCTTCTGGCACTGAGGAGGAGGCACGTGCTCCGGACAAGAGCACACGGGAAGGAAACCACAGCAGGTCCTGGAGTGAAACCGCTCGGGGAAGCGGCACGGTCGTGGCTGGGAGCTCACCCAAAGGGCCAAGTGGGGAGGTCCAGATTCTCTCCATGCATTGCATAAGCTGCTAGTAGGAAGACTGAGGTTTGGAGAACCAAAAATCTCTCTTTTTTTTCCACCAGGAAGTATTTTCTTCTCAGTGCCTGCAGCCCCTTGCCCTCAGGTTTGGGATGGAACAGACACGCCCCTGCATTCGTCACCTGTCCTGGCAGCAGGGAACGGGGCTGGGGACACGGCTGGAGCTGAAGCCAAAGCCCCTGAATGTGCATAGATCCACCCACCACCTGCATTCTGTAGGGTAGGGGGCATTTGGGGGCTGCAGAGCCCAGCAGGTCCCACATCCCCCCCTGTGCCCCCTGAAGTGGGACTGTGTCAGCCTGAAGCATTGCTCCCTCACTAGAAACGGCTCAGGGCAAAGAGGAGAACTTTTCCTGTTTGTGGGAAGATGTGCTGGGAGGCAAACCTCAAGGAGGGATTTGCATCTGCTCACAGCAGCTTTGGAGTCAGCTCAGGCCTGATGTTATGCTTGACATCTCCCTTTCCTTGAGGTCACCCCAGTGCACTGCACCCCATGTGTGAACCCACACGCAGTGGGGTGAGTCCCTGGCCAGTGGACTCACATGGACCCCGTGGCAGGGGGCTGGAATGAGATGGTCTTGAAGGTCCCTTCCAACCCAAACCATCCTGTGATTCTTTGAAATCCTTTTAGAGATGTGACACTGCTGACCCAAGCCCAGAGCCCTTAGGTTTAAACAAAGCACTGAAGTGCAGATCCCTGCAGCAGACCCAGAGCTGAGCCTGCTCTTTGCTCTATCTGCCAGAGCAGGACCAGATCAAGACCCAGAAAGCAGCCCAGGCTCTGAGGAAGGTTTTCATCACCCAGTAGCCACAGCAGAGAGCTTTAAGGGGCAGGTCAGAGCTAGGAGGCTGCAAAAGGTAAAAGAAACATCTGGGAAATGCCATTGAATGCATCCCACCACAGCTGGGCACAGCTCAGAAATGAGATGCTCCAAGGGGGAGCTGTGGGCAGCTGGGGAGAGGTGCAAGGCTCATTTTTATATAGGAAACATATATAAAATCAGATGTTCAACTAATTGCTGCTGTTGCTGTTTCCAGTTTCACTCACACTGCTTTATGGAAGTGCTCCCACAGTAACATCAGGAGACACTCAGTGAGGTGCATCATCTCAGTGCTGCAGGTGAGGTATGCAGGGTTTTGCTGCCCAAAGCCATCACAGCACTCCTTCTGTTAAAAATTCAAGGAGCAAATCACTCCTGCTGCCACCCTGCTCTCAAAACGTTCCAGTTGAGCTTGCAGAGCCTCTGACAGCAGTGATAAGGCATCGGACACACACGGTGCTTATCGGGACCTGCTGAGCTCATAAAACACGGGCCAGAGCTCTCAGGACATCCCAGCTGACTGTCCTGAGTCCCATAGCACCCATTTCCACCTGAGGAGAAGGATTTCCAGGTGCTCAGAGCCTCCTGTCCTGCCTGACTGCCACTCCTGTGCTCAGCCAGGGCATCCCTGGGCAGCTGCAGTCCCCAACCCAAGCATGGCCCAGTCTCCTCCTGCTTTCCTACAGAGTCACCTCCTCGCCAAAGCAGCACTTCCTCCTGGCTCCAGGCAAGCACTGCTCCTTGGGAGAGACATGGATAGGGTGTTGGACCAGAAAATGATGGGAATTAACAGGGCTAAGCTTGATGTTCCCCATGTTCCTGTACTGGTAGTTGCTGTGGGACTGGAGGTAGCGCTGCCTGTGCCGTGTCCTGGGATATGCTCCAGTGCTGGGCATGGTGCCAGGGCAGAGACCTGGGGTTTTTCCACAGCTCTGCCAGCATCTCTGGTGGGTGGGGGCTGCTCCACGTGCTGCTCCATGTCCCAGCAGTGCCTGGAGTACCTGGGCATCCCTGGAGCGACGCTTCCCGCACATCGCTCCGACCAGCACTGTGTGACACACAGAGACACACACAGAGGTGTTTTGCATTTGTCCTGCAGTAAAGATTTTAAATGCATAGAGGGATCGTGGGAAACAGCCTCCTGGACAAAAGGCAAGAGGGAAAAGCATACTGAGGAGAGAGCTCTGCCCATGCAACAGGCTCTGCGGCTTCTCCGCTGGGAAAAGAGCCCTTTGCCGTCCCGGCAGAGCCCTGGCTGGGAGCAGGAGCTCCATGGCTTGGGGTTCCCCACGCTTGCAGCCACTGGAAAACACACTGCTGCTCAGCAGAGGTATGTGGGGTGAAAGAATTCCCAGCCTCCCTCCCATCCACCCCAGAGAAACCTCCCCCTGGGGCTGTGGGACTAACTGGAAAACTGTGGGATGAGAGAGCACAACACCGGAGCAGAGACTGGGACACCGGAGTAGGGAAAGCAAGTGTTTTATAAAGGCCAGATACCCGTAACAAAAATAAACCTGTGCTTTCCCTCCCTCCCCTCCCTTTTTTTGATTTTTTTTTTCCTTTTTTTTTAAATACAAATTCTGTTTAGGAAAAGTGGAAGCACTGTCTGTTACAAACCAAACCAAAAAGGGGAGAGAACAGAAGGGGGGGAGGGAGGAAAAAAAAGAAAAGAAAAGAAAAGAAAACAAAACAAAAAAAAAAAAGAAAAGAGAGACATATTAGAATTAAACACTGTGGAATGTTAAACAGGTTACGGGCTACCGTTTCTAGCCAGTGCGGTTAGGCAGCTTAGTGAATTAATTGCTTAGGAATTAAAAATAAATTATTATAAAATAGATTTCTGTACATTTTACATACATATATATCTCTTTATATAAGCAAACCGTGCTGGGCAAGGAATTACAAGGGGGTCTTTCCCACGCCAGGCTCAGTCCCAGCCAAAGTCCTGCCCCGTCATCTGGTAGAACTTCATGTTGAAGGGCCGGTAGAAGTCCCGCAGCCTCTGCACCACCTCCTGGTCGATGTCGGGGTGGGTCCTGCCTTTGGTCTTCCCCAGGCAGTGGGGTTTGCTGCTGCCTTCCGCCTTCTTCAGGCACGGGAAGCCCTTGGTTTTGTTGAAGTAGAAGTGTTTGTCGGTGATGATCCTCTTGAGGCCCAGAAAGTCCTGGACCCTGCCCAGCTCCCCTGCGGGGTCGCTGATCAGCCTCTCCCCGCTGACGAAGAGGATCTGCCCGATGGGGAAGTAGAGGAGCCAGTTCTCCAGGTGCTTGGCGTAGATGCCAATCTGGATGGCGCTCCACGAGGTGTCGATCAGGCCCGTAGTCCTGTTTTTGAAGGTCAGGCTCTCAAAGGTGGGGATGTCGGGCTTCTTGGAGAGCGTCTGGGTGTAGTCCGAGATGGCTCTGGTCACGGGGTCCCGCACCACCACGATGAGCTTCGTGCCCTTGGACATGGAGGAGATGCGGGCTGGGGCCTCCTTGGTGACGAAGTAGCTGGGGGTCTTCTCCATGGTGATCTGCCCCTCCAGCGTCCTGGGCATCAGGTCCCTGCCAGCAAAACACCAGGACATGGGTCAGGAGGGCAGGGAACAGGAAGAAAACATCCCTATGCATTTCTAGGTATGTTCACACATAGATACACACAAGAATGCCTCTGCCTAACATGCCTTCACAGGCCATTTGGTTTGTACAGACAAATCCATTTTCCATTGATTTAGGGATTAGGGGGGGATTATTATTAAAGGCCACTGTATTAGAAATCCAGCTGAGTAATCTCCCAGTTATCCATGAGTGGATTAGCTGGGCTGCACTGCACCTGGAGCATGGCTACATGTACCACACCAGCTCCAGACTGGTCAGGATGAGTCCTGAGCTGCATCAGGTGGCTTTTCTGGCTCATGCCAACACCACAGAGCCCTCAAGCCCCAACCCAGAGCTCATTTCCCCATAGAAACGAGAGGATGGTTTAGCAGAAAAGCAGGAGCTCACTGGAGCTCATCCACCTTACTTTCCCTTAGCATCCCAAATGCAAAATTTTTCCAAATCCAGGCAAGAGGGAGCAATTTATCCCAGGCTTATCAGCAGCAGGACCTCACCAATCACAGGGGTCCTCTTGCACCCAGCTTCACCCACTGCTTTCCCATTCCCTGTGGCTGTGCAGACTTGTTCCCTCACATGAACTAACAGGAGAATCAGGAGCTGCTTGGGGGCATCTTCAGCACATCCCAGTCCAGCACCCAACGAGGACAACCCCTACCCAGCACTGCCCCAAAGGCTACAACAGGTCAGGACACGGGATACAACCATGGAGAGCACAACCTCAGCTCATGGGCAGGACGTACCTTCACAAAGCACCTGTGAAACCTAAAGCTTTCAGCAGTTCCACCTTATTCCCTGGCTATTTCCTAATTAACCATGTGGGGAAACACTGGAGAGCTTGCAGAACTGATGGAAGTGGCACAAAGCAGGGAGAGTCATTTTTTCCTATCATTCACTAGGCAAGCTGAAATATTTCAGACCGTTTGCCAATTCATTCCTTTTATAACCCAACGGGACTCATTTGCTCTGGGTTGCAAGACAGTTGAAAAGAAAAGGCAAGAGGGGAGTCAGGCACGAAATTAAAGCTATAAAACTTGATTAAGTTTTCAAAGCATCCACCCAGCACAGAGAAATAACCAGCCAGCGTGTGATCTGCAAGCCCCAAGCTGAGCTTCCCTCAGCTTTACAACACCTCGCAGAGGCTGTTCCCCCACGGCCACCTCCTCCCTCACTGCTTTTATGCTTCCACAGCAAAGATCACCAGCAATTAAAAAAAACCCACTGACAATTTGTGCTAAGGCCAGTGGTTGCTCTGATTAAGAGCTCCAGGGGAAAAAACCTGACCAATCTGTTCTGAGGCCAAAAACCAGGGAAACCAGGAACGAGAGGTCTGATTGCATCACAAATCATCCCATGCCCATGAAAGCTGGTCAGTGCCTGCTTATGCAACTCCTGGTGAGCTCACAACTATACCTGCTGTTTTGCCTCATCAGCTTCTGGCCTTGCCTTTGTGCAATGTGTTTACTGGCTGCACCTCCACCCTGCAGGTGAGCTGTGCCTGGGGGCTGACCATAAAGCCCCTGCTCCACATGGTGGGAGATGATCCCTGTGCCAGGTCTGCACAGGACACTGGGATAAGTGGTGATGGACAAACTGGACTGTGGAGGAAGAGGATGTCAGCTTGTGGAAACCTCCAGCCATGCCCAGGGGTTGTGGCAAGCCCGGGGGCCGGGATTTCAAGTCCGCACAGGTGGAGTTTCCCGTGCAGATAAAAATCACGCTGGTCTACCAGACACCTGGGACGTGAGAGCTTCTGGAAGTCAGGATGTGCCAAAAAAACAGTAACCAAAATAAAACTCTGACTAATCCTTTGCCTTTCTGGCCAACTCTGCAACCCCGTGATGCCGTCACAGAGCTGAGCCAGTCAATAACGCTCAGAGCAACTCCTAAACCTGTCGTGGGCTAATGTGGGTTTCAACATTTGCTCATTAAGTGGTGTCTCCTTTTATGGCCACATTAAACCCGAGTTCTACATCCTGCACTGGCCACCAACTGCCTTCCAGCTTGATTTAAGAGGTTGATTTCAAACCATGAAGTCCTTAATGGCCTGGGACCTGCCTAGAGCAGAGAATGGTTCCCAAGACATCCTCGGCATGGCCGTGCTGCACTGAAGCCCTTTGGCTTCAGGTCAGGTCCATCAGATTGCTGGCTGCATGGGGCCCTGCACCTTGGCACTGACTTCTTCTCCAGGACTACTACAGTCAGTATATATCAGTCTCCTGGGAATGATGCAAGGCTTATTTTCCCTTCCTTGCACAAGGAAGGCATTGGGTAGGGCTGGGTGGAAATTGCTGGGAATGCAGTGCTAAGTCAGTTGATCCAGTTGGGAAACACAGGTTCCTAATTAGCCTTTCAACAAACACAGAGGAGAGCACCTTGTAAGTGGAAAAAAGCAGGGAGAAACTCTTTACCTAAGAGGCATCCAGTGGCCTGGGGTCAGTCCCTTTGCAGGGCTGTCATCTCCTGAACCCACACCTCAGGTGTGGCTGAAAGCTCTCAGCTCTATGTAGGTCTAGACCCAACAGATTGTTATCCTGGGAGAGGATCTGAATCCTTGGTGTTTGCAGAACATCTTGCTGCTGACCCATTGCAACAGGAAAAGCAGGACAAAGCACACTGATTGCTGCTGCTGCTGCACTCAGGTTGGCCAGCACAGGCTGAGATGAGCAGAGGTAGAAATGGAGCTTTCAACCCAAGAAGACCTGGAACCACCAAACCCAGCCCTCAGGCCCCTGTTCCTCCACTCCCTTCACTGTACCCACACAAGTGCCAGGCATAGCCCCAAACTAAGATCCTCAAGATTGTCTCAGATGCTGCCTTATTTGAGAAGTGGCTCCATGAAAGTGAGACAGCTGCAAGTGAAGCCAAAAACTGTGGCCCACGGAGGTGGTTTTAACCTCTGACAGCACCACATCCAGGAAGGCAAAGTTTTATTGCACAGGCATGTCAGTTGTGAGGAGCTTTCCCATGGTTTCCATAAGCTCCCACAGAGGTTCCATCCCTCACGCTGGCATCCAGAGACAACAGAGCCTCGGGGACAGGAGGAACTGGTACTTTGGCTGCTCTGAACTCACAGTGGTGGAAAAGTCACCAAGAAGTGCTTGTTCCCATTCAAACCACAACTGGAGAGCGGTAGCTTGGCCCAGTGCAGCTGCACCATGCTGGACATGTGTGTTGGTGGCAGGAGGACCAGATCCCAGCTCCAAACACGTCTGCTCCTGGGGCTCCACAGCAGCAAGGGCCACGCTAAACCTGAGCACTAAACCACAGCTGCTGCTTAGGGAGGGGAAAGAGGAGCTGTAATGGCCAGAAGCCACGATGCCCTGGCAGACTGCAGCTCCTTGGGCAAAAGGAGTGGGGTTCAGCACAAGCCCACGTTCAGCTCAGTGGTGTGTGCACAGCTCAGCCCCGGGGCAGCTCGTGACAGCTGTGGAGCCTTCCGTGCCCACGGAGGCTTCACAGGCATGGTGGAGACATGGGCAGCTCCTGCCAGCACTGTTTGGTGCAAGGAAAGGATGGCAGAGGTGCAGCCACCACTGCTGTCCTCATGGGAGAGCAAAGGGAGAGGATAAAGGGAGTCAGGTTGTGGGAAACAGGGAGCTCAGCTGAGCCCCAGTCGGGACAGGGCTGGGTGAAGAGACTGTAGTGGAAACTCGTAGTGGAAAATAAAGATGGTTATGAAAAGCTTGGCAAGCAATCCCTCCTGCCTTGTTATCCTCCTGCCTTCTGGCAACCTGCAGTTCAAAGACCTCTGGAGCCAGCATCTGCATCCAAATCATCCCATTTCATAGTGACTATGAACTGCCTAATCCTTTCAAACCCATGAATACTCCTGGCCTTGAGAACATCCCACAGCAGAGAGTCCCAGCACCAAAGCACTGCCTCAACCCATCATCTGAACCCTCTCCCTCCTTCCCTGCTTGGGAAGGGATGAGGCATCTGCTGCTGAGCATGGAAGAGGGAAGTGAGGATGAGGAACAGGCTTCCAAGCATCTTTTATTCCCAGCCCAGCCAGCAAAGCACTGGTGGGGCTCAGTGCTGCTGACTCGGGCAGAGCTGCCGGGGGTCCCAGCGAGGGGAGGGAGTTGCTGTGTGAGCACAGCCATGAATTTTGCACAGCTGTGAATTCTGCACAGGCAGAGAGCAGAGCCCCTAACCCTGAGCTATTAACATGTCAAGAGGGACGGAGGAAAAGCTTTTCCTTTAATGAATATCTCCTCAGCAGAGCCTGCGCCCTTCGTAGGCGAAGTGATAGGCTTAGTCTAAAGATGGATTGGCCTACTTTACCTATTAACCACTTAGACTAATGTAATAAAGGCTCTCTTCATTCAAACAGCCCTAATCCCCAGCCCCACACTCTGAAGCCTGGAATAAGAAGGGATGCTCAGACAAACACAGCCAGGCTGCTGCTCGGACAGGCACCGGGAGGGGGATTTTATGGGGCAGTTTTTTAAAAGTGCAAACTTGTCCAGTATGAAAACCGGGCACGGAGCGAGGTAAATTTACAAAGTGGGGATGACAGGTGGCCCCACAGTAATCCAATCCTGAAGCCTAATGCCCTTTGTGGCAGCTTTTGTCTGTGCAGAGGGGCTCGGGGCTAATCTGCTGCCGCTTCTCAGGGAGGGGCGGGGGGGCCAGGGGACCCCCACAACCTGTTGCTCGTTGTTCGCTGCAGGTAGGACAGAGCAGAGCGCAGGGCAGGGCACAGCAGTGGTGGATTTATCCCCTGGGGATGTCTGTTGGTCCCCCCACGCACCTCCTGCCACGGCAAACACCTGCTGGGATAAAACCCCCCAGGGTCTGCCAGAGCCTGGAGCCCTGGGGGGCTGCAGAGATGCCCACCCCCAGCCGTCTGCCCACACAGGGGTCAGCGCCAGGCTGACCGCCCCAGACACGGCTCACTCAGAGGAGTTTTCCTTCCTGGGGAGGGCTTCATGCTGGATATATTC